ATTCTCCTCAGACCTTTTTCAAATTCTTTTGAAGTACAGCAGTTCATTGAGATTTTTTATTTTTTTTTTGTGTAATCTGAGTAAACTTTAGACTATTGTGTGTGAAAATCCTGGATGAGTAGCAGAAATACTCAAACCAGTCCATCTACCTCAAACAATCCTGCCATGGTCAAAATCAATGAGATCACATTTTCCTTATTCTGGTATTTACCAAGAACACTAACTGAAGCTCCTGACCTGCATTTGCATTACTTTTGCATTGTACTGTTGGCACAGGTTGGTGAATTAGAGAGCTGCATGAATAGGCAGGTGTACAGGTGTTGCTAATACACTGCTTGGTTGTGATACCGGTTGTGATACCAGCTTCTGTTGGATGAGGGGCTGGACACGTGAGCAGAAAGTCGTCCGGTTTCTGCTGAAATGACAGTTTTCGGCCAATATTCGAACGTGTGTACCCAGCTTTATCCTGTCTTAGAAAGTTTTCACACTGGTACATGTGTCCTTACTGGGCAATTTCTCTTTACCTGTTTTGATAACAATTAAAAAATTTGAATTTTTCACTTTAAGTTCTGATGACAAATGGTCACCAGGACAAATAAAAGTACAAGGTGAACCTCCGTGACGGGGTTCAGACAGAGATAAAATCCCTGACAAAGAATCCAACTCTTCCACACTCCAAAACTGACAAATGTATGGGCTTAAGGTCAGAGACACCTGTCTGACTCACCTACACAGGAGAATTCCTGGAAAGGATTTCTTTTGAGATATCTTATCAGAAATTAATTTCCCAAAAACAGTCAGCTGCTGCGGGAAAATGTTTAGTAAGCAATGACAAAGCTCTCCTTCTTAAATCTGACATGGTGTGAAGTAGTCGTCATTACTTACAGCTCATAAATACTGAACAGAAAACACAGTTTTCATCTGCAGACCAAACACTGCACAGGAGAATCTGTCATCAAGTAAAAAGCTCCCAAAACCCGTATCCATAAATAGTTCTTTATTAAGAAATAATGCAGAAGTCAACTCTACAAAGCTTGACGTTTTGACTGGCATTTCATCAGTCAATACTTATTAGAAAGGTTTTGCAAGCTGTGTACCATGTAAGCACCTCTGTATTATTAGTAAAATAAAAGATATTTGATAAGTGTCAATGAGTCTTAAACATTTTCTAAAAACTTTTAAACACACACAACTTTTTTTTAAAAAAAAAAAAAGTGGAAAAAAAGGTTAAAATAACCATGCATAGTTAATAAAGTAGATATATACCCTAACTGAATGAGTTTGATAAAGCACTATGCCTCATAAATAAATGCTGCCGATCCCCTGCAGACTTTTTACAGCTACTTTCTATCTATATGAATGCACTTCAGCGATGGCTGCATGGCATTTCTAATCTCGAGTTTGCTAATGGGGATAACAATAGACTGTGCCTGCATAGTGTACTGCCATCCGCCCTATAGCAGAAGTACTGCTACATGGCAGCACAGCTGCGCAAAATCACATATAGATATGGGTTTTGCATATCCAGGGAGGGGGTGTGCGCGCGCACGTGCATTGCCCTACCCATGCTGCTACTGGCGGCTGGGGATGTCAATCACTGGGTCTCGTCCAGTGATTCCTGGCCGGCACTCGGTGATCGTTGGCAAAGCTGACAGGAGAGAGACCTGTATGCAAACAATGCATGTCTCTCTGCTGTCAGCATGGACATGCTGCTTTGTACAGCAGAGATATACAAAACAGCATGTCTCCCAAGTAAAACAGCACACAATGTAAAACACCACAGCACACAGTTAACACTTTGATCTCCCCAGATGTTAACCCCTTCCTGCCCAGTGTCATTAGTACAGTGTCAGTGCTTTTTATTAGCACTGATCACTGTATTAGTGTCACTGGGGACGTCAGTGGCAGTCAGTTCCCACCCAGTGTCTGAATGCCCGCTGCAGTCACGCTTTAAGTTCGCCACCATTATTAGTATGAAAGAAAAAATTATACCACCATTTATAGACACTATAACTTTCACGGAAACCAATTAATATACACGTATTCGATTTTGTTTAGCAAAGAAATATAGCACAATTCATTTTGTCTTAAATTTATGAAGAAATTAGATTTTTAAAACATTTTTATAGCAAAAAGTCAAAAATTTTTTTTGCAAAATGTTTTTGTTTATAGATCAAAAAATAAAAATGCAAAGACGATGATAGAATACCACAGAAAGAAAACGCTATTTGTGAGAAAAAATTACAAATTTCATTTATCGTCTCTGGCTTGTGACATGCGAGCCCCTAAGGTGGAGATTTCCCCCAATGTCTGATGCTTCTGATCTGGTGTTAACTTGGAGCTGTCCCTGGGAGCAGAGAGTGTCCTGTGAGGGAGTGGCGTTATACTGTGTGCCTGATGACCCCGCAGCCCCTGCCCAGACGACCACTGGCGGATATATATACACATGCGCATATCTTTTGCACTTCTGGTGAGTGCATTCATATTACTGGCCCTCGTCATAGAGATCACCAACACAGAGCACGAATCACCATTTCATCTGGACTTAATTTGCATTCTCTGTTTATGATGCCCTACAGTCACTTTATGTATTGACTTTATATATTCCTTTTTTGATACGTCATTTAGAGACGATTCACCGCGATACCACTTCATATGCGCCGCATAAGTGCTCACTTCCTACTATTTATTATTGTTGTTACTTATTTCTTAGCGTGCATTTATAGGATATTGCATTATTTGGAGGTTTACCTTTTATGCTAGCTGCTTTTCTGATTTTGTGCTCGCATATATTCTCATTTTAACAAAAATTATATAATTAAATAAAATATAATTAAATTGAATTAAATCTGCATTCCAAACAAAATATATAGAATCAAATCAAAATGTCCATTCCGTGATAATTTCTCATAAAGTGCTCCTTCTCCTATATGCGCTCACCTTTTTTGATCAAACCGTTGAGTAAGGTCAAAACATCTTGTGTCCCTTTAAATGGACTTGTGGGTGATTTTCAGGCTGTATCCTTATTCCAGATGGATGGATGAATAGATCAGTGGTGTAGTAGTAATATACTTTTTTCAGCAGGGGTCTTGATGTCTACTGATCCTCTCCTTATCTCTCCATTTGTGTTGGAATTCTCCCTGATGAAGCGCCACTGAATGGTGAAAAATTTTTTTGCCTGGAGTTCTGCTTTAACCACTTGCCCTTCAGAGGACTTTACCACCCCCCCCCCTTCCTAACCAGGCCATTTTGTGTGATACGGCACTGAGTTACTTTAACTGACAATTGCCCGGTCATGCAACACTACACCCAAATTAAATTTATGTCCTTTTTTTCCAAACATATTGAGCTTTCTTTCGGTGGTATTTGATCACCTGTGCATTTTTATTTTTTGCACTATAAACAAAATTAAAAAAAAGATCTAAAATTTCATCATAAAATTTAGGCCAAAATGTTTTCTGCTACATGTCTTTGCAAACAAAAAAAAAAAAAAATCCCAATACGTGTAAATTAATTGGTTTACGTGAAAGTTATAGCGTCTACAAATGGCGGTATATATACTGGAATTTTTTTTAATTTACATTAGTAATGGCAGCAATCAGCAACTTATAGCAGGAGCGTAGCAGACATTCTGACACTGGGGGGAACTGACTTTGTGTCACTGACATCCCCAGTGACACTAATACAGTTATCAGTGCTAATAAAAACCACTGACACTGTCCTGACACTGGGCAGGAACTGGTAACATCTAGGGCGATCAAAGGGTTAACTTGTGCTGTTTTACTGCGTTGTCTGTGTGTGCTTTACTGTTTAGGCATGCTGCTTTGTATTGCTCTGCTATGCAGAGCAATACAAAAGCAGTGTGCTAGTGCTAACAGGGGAGAGATCTGTATTGTTTACATACAGACCCCTCCCGTCAGTGTTTCTCAGCGATCGCCGGGTGCCAGCGGTGAATTTCCAGCCGGGACCCGGTGATCCACAGCTGTAGCCGGTAATGACAGTGTGAGTAGGGCGGGGCACGCACCCCCTACCCGGAAATACAAAATCACTCATATATACGTGATTTTGCGCAGTCCTGCAGCCCTGTAGCAGTACTTCTGCTATAGAGCAGTCTGGAAGCGGTTAATAAAAGGATGCCAATTGCACTGCCTGAAAGATTAACACTAGAGAAAGAGTTAAAATGTATATGAAATACAAACATAACACTTTTACACAAAAAGTAAGAAAAATGTGATATAAAGGTTACCATAATAACGCAAGATAAGTACTTAAAATACAAACTGTGTTCCTAACTCAGGCATAGGCTAATTTTTGTAAAGCAAAGCTATTTACCTGAAATGAACCTGCGTTTTGCCTAACAAAAAGGTATACTTGGCAGCTGCACCAGCAGCTTATAGTCACTTGCCCTGTTGCTTCACTCAGCCGCTGACAGTTAGTATAAGCTCCAAGTCACTATGCTTCCCTGAGTGAATGAAGAGGCGGGGGCGGCTAAGGGAAGGCAAGAAATTAAATATATTGTATAAATATTATTTAGCAGTCTGCAGTCAGAAAAATATAACTTTAGAAATCATCAGCATGAGCTGCAACAGCAAATGCAATCTGTTTACCAAAAAACTGCACACAAAAGCACGCATAGATATAAATATTTTATGCAGATTTTTTAAATTTAATTTATATTCATAACAAATGTAAGATCCAAACTCCTAGATTGTTCCCTTGTATGGTCTTCAATCATTCAGAGAATAGCATGAAATATAAATGAAAACTGGCATGAATTTCTTCAGAGAGGTAGAATGTTTCTTGTGTCCGATTCCCTCATTTTCACCAGAACAAAATTATGTGCAAATAAAAATCAGCAGCTCCACCTGCTGGTTAGTCTGGAAAGTGAGTCACGTCTTAGAAAATGCTGTCAGAAGGGAACCGGTTAACACAATACAAAATGCCAGCACTAGCAGCAAGTAATTTCTTCTCCCCTGGAAAGAAAAAAAAAAAAAATGATTTTACAAATGATCAATTTTTAAACTAAATGGAAAAATTCAGATCTAATGATTACATATTTGGTCTAAGTGAACATTAAAGTGGTTGTAAGCCCTTGTGATATACCCAGTGAAGTGATTGGCCTCGGGTGTTACACAGAGAAAAAAAAACTAAGCTTTTTACATGTAAGTTGTACCTGTCTATATGCAGCCATCTTTCCCCTACATTCAGTCAAAGTGGAGAATTTACACAGGATCTCTCAGCTCTGACAAGCAGGGGCGGAGAGCTGAAGTTACATCAGTGAGGAGAGCTCTGAGAGATGATCGAAGGGAAGGGACACATCCCTTTCACACAGTACACAGGAACAGAGATCAGGCTGTCAATCACAGGCTGTCCCCGGTCACCACTTTTCTCTTGGCATCAGGAAAATTCATCAGAAGTGATTTATGCAGATAGCAGAGGAATGAGACAGTGGACAGAAATAACACTTAGTATTCTGGATTGAGACAAGTACACATTACAGAGGAATTTGCTTTGTTCATATCTCATGTCTGAAGTTTACAACCACTTTAAGGAAACAGTGAAAAAGGCACATTTTACCATTGGTGTCCTACATCTAATACAGTTTATGAAGCATTGCAGAAAGCCATGTCAATATGCATGTGCATATTATTAAAGTGTTTCAGTTGTAGGTGAAGTACATTAACTGCAGTGTACATATTTCTATATACATTTTAAGACTGAACTCCAGGCAAACAGCTACACAGATTAAACATAAATATGGGGTCTGTGTTACCTGACAAAGGATCTGTACTTGTCCATCCATTCCTACGATAAAGACAGCCCTACCACGAGGTACTCTCAGCCTGAACCTAACTTTTCCCTTTTGCAGTTATGTAACACGGCTATGTCACCACCCCATGCTCAGCCTGTGAAAGGGCAGTGAGCAAAGCAGCAATGGACTGATGATGTTCTTTCTTTCATCTCTCCTCTTGTCAGCATATCCTTGTGAATTCAGTGCTTCGAATTTTTATTTCATACATATATAACTGGTATCTGCCTGGAATTCAACTTTAAGACACATACCATGCCACCACACAGCTATGCCCTGGCAATGCTAAAACACCTGAATCATAACACAAATGTGTTGATTGTCCACCGAAAACAGTTTAGCACTGGACAGTTGCTGATGAACCACCCACCATATCCTTGTTGGCCGGTTCACACCATGAATCTCATAGGAACACGCAGTGCATTCCTGTGCAAGTCGCATGCAATTCAGGTGCAGAATAATTTCAGCCCATTCATCAAAATGGGCTGAAATCGCACTATGTACCAAAAGTAGTGCATTCACTACTTTATAATTTGCACAAGAACCACGTTGCGTGGTACTAATGTACCGTGTGATCTGGTGCAGGAAAACACATTGTGTTTGTGGCGCTGTGTTTGGGGTGCCATTAGGTTAACTAACTGCAGTGCAGTGTGTTGAACGCAGGGTGGGAAATGCGCATGGAACATGGGTTTCCTGCACTGTGGTCTGGTGTAAACGCAGTGACTGAGACATTTTTTAATTAACTTTACAGCTTTTATAAAAAGGACCCACTTTATATTTTTTTTTGTTTCACAAAGTTAAAAAAGATGTCCATATGAAATAAACTGTACTTATCTCAATGCAATTCATCCCAAAAATCTAGCAAAACTGAAGTGGTATAAAACCAGCATTAGTATAATATACTCTAAGGGCTCATGTACACTGCAGCTGATAAACGCACGTTTAGGAGCTGTTCAGTGTTTTTTTCAGCAATCCCTGAACTCACCCTAATGTTTTCCTATGTGTCCATCTACACATCGTCGTTTACAGGCAGTTGAGTTTAGGGTCGTTTTTTTTAATGCAACAAACTTGCATTCAGACGTCGATTTTATCAGCGTTTCAACACAAAACACTTGTAAACGCGGCTAAACGCGTCAAATCGCGTTTAGAAGCATTTGTGTTTGAATTTTTTTTTTTTTTTTTTTTTTTTTTTTAACTCTTCCAGTTCCCAATGCTGTCCAGAGCCTTTTTTCATCATGAAAAAATGCATGCAAAGAGTTTTCAAAGTGCTCAGATGGACAAAAAAAACACTTAACACAGGATGTTTCCACCAAGCTTGTCACACATAGTAAGGACCAATGCACACCTTAGACTTCTCCCACCCTTGGAAACAAAAGATATGTTAATGCCCAGTCACACCTCAAAATTCCTCATGAACACCCCCTGCCGGGTGACCTTAATGACTCACTCCAGCAGACACATTCCCACCCTTGGAAACAAAAGAAATGTTAATGAGCAACTCACACCTAATTATCTCAACACATACTGCTGTCTCTGCTTCTACTGTGTATATTTCTCTGAAACAGTCTGAAATAGTTAATAAGTTACCACTTTTCAGTGCATTCTGGGCATTTGGGAGGTTCTCCTGTGCTTATCTTTAAAAAACCCTTCTAAATGCAAAACGAGCATAAACGCGTTATGCAAATGCCGCTAAACAGACGTTTTTTTAACCTACGTTTTCCAGAAGTCAGTTTCCATCATTCAGAAACGTCCCGTGTACATGGGGCCTAAATCTACTGATGTGAAAATGCCAATAATTACAATGTGGGTAGCCACCAGTACCAGAGAGATAAAGAGACTCTTGAGCTGTGGAGGAGTACCATGATCACATTACATCTCTGACTTCATTGTACCAAGGCTGGAAACATTCTCTTACATTTGGCCTCTGTCATAGTAATACTAACTCTGGTTTATACAATGCTGAAAAAAAAAAAAAAAAAAAAAAAAAAAAAAAAATAGGATTTCTGCATTTTAGGCGATGAATTACGAGTACCGTATTTTCCAGCGTATAAGACGACCCCCTACTTTTCCTGTTAAAATGTAGTGTTTGGGCTATACTCGCCGTATAAGACTACCCCTCTTCCAGTGCACACCAGTGGGAACAATTGTGCCCCATCATTGGTGTCAGTGGGAGGAATAGTGCCCCATCATTGGTGTCAGTGGGGCGAATCGCGCCCCATCACTGGTGTCAGTGGGGGCGAATCGCGCCCCATCACTGGTGTCAGTGGGGCGAATCGCGCCCCATCACTGGTGTCAGTGGGGCGAATCGCGCCCCATCACTGGTGTCAGTGGGGCGAATCGCGCCCCATCACTGGTGTCAGTGGGGCGAATCGCGCCCCATCACTGGTGTCAGTGGGGCGAATCGCGCCCCATCATTGGTGTCAGTGGGGCGAATCGCGCCCCATCATTGGTATCAGTGGCAGGAATAGTGCCCCATAATTAGTATCAGTGGCAGGAATAGCGCCCCATCATTGGTGTCAGTGGGAGGAATAGTGCCCCATCATTAGTATCAGTGGGGGGAATAGCGCCCCATCATTAGTATCAGTGGGGGGAATAGCGCCCCATCATTAGTATCAGTGGGGGGAATAGCGCCCCATCATTAGTATCAGTGGGGGGGGGAATAGCGCCCCATCATTGGTGTCAGTGGAATAGTGCCCCATCTATGGTGTCAGTGGGAGGAATAGTGTCCCCCAACATTGGTGTCAGTGGGAGGAATAGTGTCCCAACATTGGTGTCAGTGGGAGGAATAGTATCCCATCTGTGTCTGGGGGGAGGAATAGTGCCCCAACGTTAGTGTCAGTGGGGGGTGGAATAGTGCCCCATCGTTGATGTCAGTGGGAGGAATAGTGTCCCATCATTGGTGTCAGTGGGGATGGTGGGGGGGGGGGGGGGGGGGAAGGAAAAGTGCCCCATCGTTGATGTCAGTGGGGGGGGGGGGGGGGGGGGGGGGGGAGGAAAAGTGCCCCATCGTTGATGTCAGTGGGGGGGGGAGGAAAAGTGCCCCATCGTTGGTGTCAGTGGGGGGGGGGGTGAGAAATAGTATCCCATGATTGGTGTCAGTGGGGGGTGGAATAGTGCTCCATGATTGGTGTCAGTGGGGGGTGGAATAGTGCCCCATCATTGGTTTCAGTGGGGGGTGGGGGGGAGGAATAGTGCCCAATCGTTGGTGTCAGTAGGGGGAGGAAAATTGCCCCATCGTTGGTGTCAGTGGGAGGAATAATGCCCCATCATTGGTATCAGTGACACCAATGATGGGGCACTATTCCTCCCACTGACACTTGCTGACCCCTGTTCCAGTATAGTGCTGCTGCAGCCAGCATATGTGGTTGCAGCAGCACCTAAGCACGGCACACTTACCTGCATCTCCTTCACTCGATTTTCGCGGGGCCGCTCAGCTCCGCCTCCTCGCCGGTGATTGGCCGCCTGTGTGCCTTTCCTGAACTACAGTTCTGGTGGCCAATCACCGGTGAGGAGGCGGAGCCTAGCAGCCGCGCGAACATCCAGTGGACGAACTGAATGAAGGAGCAGCCGCGCTTCCTGGACCGGATCGTCGTGGGACCGGAGCCAGGTAAGAGACAGCAGCCCCTGCCCACCCCTGTACTTAGTTTACCTTCTGTTGGAAGGGGGGGGGGGCCGATGCGTCGCGCTGCCCCCCTAAAAAGTGTCAGCATGCCGTTACCGGCGTATAAGACGACCCCCGACTTTTGATTAGATTTTCAAGGGGTAAAAAGTCGTCTTATACGCCGGAAAATACGGTACTTTTTTTTCATCGTTTGATAATTGTAACATACACCCCTAATGGTGTAAGTACTCATCACAACCAATTCAGCTTTAACCACACTAAGTTAGTCAAGCAAATGTAAACAGTTGTGATGCAAGCGAATTTGCTTTGCATACAATTTTATCAACAGTAGAAGTACAGAGGACTCATTTGAACATCACTAATAATGTAAATACAGAACTGGAAGCAAAAGAAAAACTACAACGCTGATACAAAATGTGTTTCTTAAAAAGATATATCAAGCAAATGCAAATACACTTTTCCCATATATTTCAAATTTGTTGGAAACTATGTATAATGTATATTTAGAAGTATAATGTTTTTTGTGGAAAGTTTGCAAAATGCAATCTGACATTTTAACTTTTGCCACATTTTGTTATGTTACAGCCTTGTTCCAA